CATGGTGGGAACATGACACGGGAGCACAGCACGGGAGCACCACATGGGGGCACAGCATGGTGGGAACATGACACGGGAGCACAGCACGGGAGCACCGCATGGGAGCACAGCATGGTGGGAACTTGACACAGGAGCACATCACGGGAGCACCACATGGGAGCACAGCACAGGAGTACCGCATGGGAGCACAGAAGGGAATGCAGCAGGGCATCTGATTGCTTGCAGGTGGTTGAAAGACTTGCAGTGGAGGAGGGAAGGGGGCATGCAAGGGGCTCACACACCTCGGGTTCCGTTCTTGCCTTTAGGCCCCGAGATCTCACTCGGGGACACAGGCCTGACCTCAGAGAGCTGAGAGGCGCAGGCCAGCCGGGGAGGCCTCGGCCCCGGGCTGTCCCAGAGAGAGTGGCAGGAAGAAGTGGCACCAGGAGCGAAGAGCCCCTCATTTGGCGGCTGGGGGCCGAGGCCAGTCATGGCAGGGCCACGCCCACGCAGCTGCGACCCAGCCAGAGCAAGCGACTTGACCCCATGGGAGAGGAAGTGTGAAGAGGGGGAGGTCTGGTGTGGCTGAAACCCGCGGTCTCACCCCCTTGGCCTGGGGTCCGTCAGGGACTCAGCCTGGAGCCCTGCGTGATTCCGCAGGCCACGGAAGGCGCGCCCGTGTGACCGTGGGCGGCCGCTCACCCATGTCTGTTGGTAGAAGGCGCGTGCCCGGACCATGAGCTGGGAGGAGGAAGATGGACTCAGAGGCTGTTCCAAAAAAGAGAAGGGGCTGGTCTGGGGCAGCACTCGGGAGGGACGTCGAGAGGAGCTGGAGCCAGAGGGGGCTGTGTTTGCAGAGGGGGCAGAAATGGAGGGGCTGGAGCGATAGCACAGCCGGTAGGGCGTTTGTTTTGCACGCGGCCAACCTGGGTTCAATTCCCAGCATTCCATATGGTCCCCTGAGCACCACCAGGAGTAATTCCTGAGTGCATGAGCCAGGAGTAACCCCTGTGCATCGCTGGGTGTGACCAAAAAGCAAAACAAACAAACAAGAAATGGAGTTTTCTGGGCCGGAGAGATAGTACCACAGGGAAGGCACCTGATGTGGACCCAAGTTCCATCTCCCGCACCCCAGAGGGCTCCCTGAGCCCCACCAGCAGTGATTCCTGAGTGCGGAGCCAGGAGGAAGCCCTGACCCCCTCAAAACAAAACTGTTAAGTTTTCAAACAGAACATTAGGGAGGACCATGAAGGCCCTGGCCGGCTGGGGCCTGGAGGGGGGTGGGTGCCTTGCAGCTGTGGTGGCCCGCTCTGTGGGCAGTGGCCTGGGTGGTCGGCCAGGACAGAGCCCTCTGTGGTGAGGGCTGGGGGCTGAGAGAAAGCAGAGGTGGCAGGAGATAAAGTCCGTGGTGGGCCGGGCCCAGAGGAGGCAGGTGCTGGGCGCAGAACAGCGCTAGCTTCCGGCCCAGGAAAACAGGGTCCCCGAGGTGGGCTCATAGGGAGCGCCCCCAAGCACTACCTGGCATAGCTCTTGCCCTGCCCCGTGTCCCGAAGAAGTCCGGGTGCCCAAGGTCATGTCCTTAGGGGCCTTTCTTAGTGGAGAAGCACAATATTGGCATCAAAATCCGCTTGGGCTGTGGGAATGTGTTGGGTTTTGTTTTGGGGTCACACTCGGTGTTTCGGGTTTTGTTTTGGGGTCCCACTTGGTGTCTGGAACCCAGGTCTGCAGCGTTCCAGGCGAGCGCCCAACCTGTCAGCCACCTCACTGGAGACTCCAGCAAGCAGGAGCTGAGACACAGATGCCCATGCCAGGGGCAAGGGGCGACGCCTGTGCCCACCCGTGTCTCTCGGGAAGGGGGCGTGCCTGGGTCGTCCCCTGGTGCCTGGGGCTGGATCCCCAGACCTGGGGTTGGTACCTGGAGCTGGCCGGAGGCCAGTCTGGTTCTCCGACACTTCTTCCCTCTCGTGGTTTCCTTTAAGGCCGTTTCCTGGAAACACACCCAGATCCACAATGCTCGGAGGGTCCTGCCCCTTCTGTGACCTCAGCAGGGCCTGCTGCACGCCTGGCCCTTCCCGCAGAAAAGGAGGCATTTCCGGCAAGAGCGTTCCCGTGCCCTGGGCCTGACACAGGACTGGCTGTGTGTGCAGGTAGTGGACAGAGCCCGCAGGGCCGGCATCACATCCCCACATGGAGGCAGTTATTCCCTCTCCGTCCCCGGTCCCAGGTCTGTATCTGCATGCCTGGCCCTGGAGACAGCAAAGGAAGGGGACCCAGGGAGGTGCCACTGGACTTGAGGCAGAGTCACCCTGGGAAAGACCCGCAGGAGAACAGCTGCCCCGAGGGAGAGGAATTGGCAGATCCGGTCTCCAGACAGCAGGCTGCGGGCCTGAGCACCTCGGGGTGTGGCCCAAGAAACAAAAATAAAAAGACTCAGGGAGCTGGAGCGATAGCACAGCGGGGAGAGGGCGTTTGCCTTGCACGCGGCCAACCCGGGTTCGACTCCCAGCATCCCATAGGGTCCCCCGAGCACCGCCAGGAGTGATTCCTGAATGCAGAGCCAGGAGGAACCCCTGTGCATCAGTCAGGTGTGACCCAAGAAGCAAAAAAATAAAAATAAAAAATAAAAGACTGAGCTTGGATCTCAGCAAAGCATACCCATGCCTCCACCCCCCATGCTTTCTGTACGTACACACACACACACACACACACATACACACACACACATACACACACACACACGTGCATTCCCCTCCCCTGCCCGCATCTTCATTTTCAGAGGTTTTCAGGTGGTTCAGGAAACACTCTAGACACAACTCTCCAGCATGGAGTCGGGAGGGACCTGCTGACTTCCGGGCCACCCCCAGGACCGGCGGGGACACGGGACGGGCGTCAGGGCACAGCGTCAGGAGAGAAGCCGAGGGGCAGGGCTGTCCCGGCCCACGCGGGACTCAGCACCTCCTCGGTGCCCTCTCCGGCCTCTCCCGCCTCTGCCGGGTCCTTTCAAGATTCCCGCGACAGAGCAACCGGGAGAACCAACTGTACTAGAAGCTGTCGGGAGAACAAAAGCTTATCGTGTACTTGAAGTGGCACAGATAAATCTGTGATTTAGACGTCGGAATATCTTCAGAGTAACATGCAAAATGAGTGCCTATTCACCGATTGAACAAAAAAGGCTTTGTGCCGTGGAGCATGGAGCAGGGGCTCGGGGCAGATTCCTCTGGAAGGTGAGGGACAGAAGGATCGGGGTGTAAGGCAGTTAACCGGAGCAAGGGCGTTTCACCCCACCCAATCACTATTCCCCAGTATTTGCTGAGGGCCCATGTGCAGCTGGACTGGGTGGGCGCGGCCAGCCCCGGGGCCACACTCCCTGAAACTCCCTGAACCCACCTTCATTCCCTGGACAGAGACAGTCCAGGGCCTCAGAGGTGTGGGAACTGCATTATAGGGCGTGAAGAAGAGAGTCCTGTGGGCTCCAGGGAAGAAGCAGTGCAGTTCCTCATTCCCTGAGCAACGGATCATTCCCTGCCTGGGATCTTTGGGGCACAGCCAGGGCTGGCCCCCAACCCCGAAGGAGAAGAGGGGAGTCCAGCAGGGCGAGGGTGTGTCTGAGGTATGTCAGGAGCCAGTGGGATGAGGGTGTCCACACCCTGGGCGGCGGCCGGCCCCTGGGCCCAACCTGCACCTTGCCACCTGCCTTCTCAGGTAAAGCCGGGAAGCCTGGCGCCGCTCTTGGGAAGACGGGCAAGATGTCTCCTAGCGGCGGGGAGGGCGGTGGTCGTTCTCCTCTGTCCTCTCCCACCAGGAGGGGGAACCGAACTGTCAGAGTAGGAGATGAATGGATGTGTTCAGCTTTTGTGCCGTGATCTAGAGCAGTGTTTGTCAAACCTTTGGATCCTTGTCAGACTGACCACATAGGGTGGGCCCCTAGACCCACCCCTGTAAGGTGGGCCCCAGTCTCACCCCTGTAAGGTGGTCCCTAGTCTCACTCCTGTAAGGTGGGCTCCTAGACCTACCCCCATAAAGTGGGCCCCTAGACTCACCCCTGTAAGGTGGGCCCCTAGATCCACCCCTATAGGATGGGCCCCTAGACTCAGCCCCATAGGGTGGGCTCTGGCCTCATACCCCCCCCTTCCAGTCTTCACCTATATCCTCCTTGGACATCCAGGGGGGCGCTCCAGATGGACAGAATCTAAGTGGAGAGGCCTGGATGCTCAAACTCCAAAACAACTGACCTGTCCAGACTATTCGTCCACTGCTGTGATGGCCCTTTTGTTTTTTTTTGGGGGGGGGGGTTAGCCCACTGCGGGGATCTCCTCTAACGAACCCGAGGGGGACACTGACACCCCTGCAGTCCTTCCCGGAGCGGGGAGCGCGGCCCAGGCTGTCCTCGGTGCCCCTCCTTCCTCCGCTGCTCACCCCGGGAGGTCCCGCACGACCCCTCCCACCTTTGCCAAGTGTCGGCGTTACTGGGTGGACGCGAACGTGTCCCGGGGCAGGCCGGCCCGCAATGCATGAGTTGGGGGAGGGGGTGGGCTCTCCGTGGGGACCTCCCGTCCCCCCCTCTCCCCCGGGCTGCCCCCGCCGGGATCCCACCCTGCGCCAGAGCTGCGGGACAGCCCGGGGGCGCCGCCGCCCGGGTCCCGCAGGAGCCGACGGGCGGGCGATCCCCGCCCCGCCGCGGTCCTCGGGGCCGCCCTGAGCGCCCCGCCCCGGACGCCCCGAAGCCCCGCCCCGCCCCGAAGCCCCGCCCCGCCTCAAAGCCCCGCCCCGGCCGCCCCGAAGCCCCGCCCCGGCCGCCCCGAAGCCCCTCCCCACTCCGACGCCCCGCCCCGCCCGGCAAGCTCGGTCGCTCCGCACGCCCCGCCCCGGCGGCCGGAACGCCCCGCCCCTCCCGCCCCGCCCCGCCCCGCAGCCCCGCCCCGCGCCCGCCGTGCGGAGGCTGCGGCGCGCCGAGCGCATCGATCGGGCCTGGCGGCCGCGGCGCGCGGGCTCGCTGCGCTCGGCGCTCGATTCCCCTCGGCGCGGCGGCGGCGGCGGAGGCGGCGGCTCGGGCCGGACTCGCGGCCCCCGCCATTTCGGAGCGGGCGGCGGCGGGGCCAGAGGCGCGGCGGCTCCGGAGCGGGGCCCAGGTAGGCGCGGGCCGGGCCGGGCCGGGCCGGGCGGGGCGGGCGGGGCGGGGGCGGCGGGCGGGGGCCGGCGGCGGCGGCGGCGGCGCGCGCGCGGGGTCGCGGCCGGCCGGGCTCGGGTCGGGGTCGGGGGCCGCCGGGCGCGGGGCCGGACTCGGGGCCGGACTCGGGGCCGGGGTCGGGGCCGGGGTCGCCGCCGCTGCCCGGTCGGGCGACCCTTCCTGCCGCCTCCTCGCGCCGGGCGGGCCGAGGGCGCGGGGGGCCGGGGCGGCGGCCGAGCGGGCGGCGGCGTCTCCACCCTCCCCCCCCCCCACAGGCCCTCCGACCCCTGACCCCGACCCCCGACCCCGAGCCCGCCCCGGCCCGCCGCGGCGTCCCCTCGGCCCCCGCCCGGCCGGCGGTGACATTGGCGGCCACAAAGGCGGAGCCGGCGGCGGTGTCCGCGCAGGTGTCCACGCCCTGCGGCGGCCCCGGCCGGGGGAAAGTTGACCCGGGCCGCGCGGGGCTGGCTGGGTGCGGGGCCCGCGGCTCCTGCACCCCCGGGGTCGCCTCCCGCCCCGCACCCCCGGGACCCGGCGCCTCCCGCACCCCGAGCCCGGGCCTCCTGCGCCCGGGGCCAGCGGCGGCCCCCGCATCCCCGGGGTCAGCGCTTCCTGCACCCCGGCCCGGCCGCGTCTCCTGCACCCCCGGGGTCAGCGCTCCCCGCACCGCACCCCGGACCCAGCGGCTCCCGCACCCCCAGGCCAGCGCATCCGCACCCCGGGCCAGGGCGCGCATCCCTCGGGCTGGGCCCGGGAGCTCCAGAGCCCCCCCCCCCCCCCATAGCCCCCCGCAGGGCCCTGGGCCGCGCTAGGGGGCGGGGAGCCCGTGCCCCACCCCAGCAGAGGGGGCTTTCTCCCGTTTTGACCCCCGGTGCAGGTGGTCTCTACAGTGGACGCCTGAGGGCGGCCCAGGCAGTGGAGACTCCAGCATGTGGGCCCCCCCCAGGGCCCGGGGCTGACCCTGCCCAGCCTCTCTGGGGGGCCAGCGGCTCCGAAGATGGACCGTGATGGCCCCGTGGTGCCTTGAGGCGGCCCCTCACTGCCTAGTTTTGGTACCTTCTTGGCGCTGATGGATGAGGTTCAGTTTTACCAAAAATTTAAATGGAAAAAAAAATAAATGTTTCCCCCTTGAAATCAGAGGATGGGGGCCGTTTGGGCGGCCCCCGCCGGCTTGAGGTGTGGTTGGGGTGCACCCTCGGGGTCCCCTGTGGCCTGCCGGCTTCGGTGTTGTCGGGTTTTGCCATTTCTCCCCGGAGTTTTCCCAGCAGGCAGGTGCAGGCAGGTGTCTGCGGCCCTCTGGGCTCCGGCTGTGCTCCCGGGCTCACCGCGCAGGTGCCACTCTCCCTCCATCGTGGGGGAAAGGAGGCCAGAAACTTGTGCCTTTTCAAACAACGTTAGCAACGCTAACGCAGCCGAGGGGACCTGAAGGCGGCCCCGGTGCGCTGAGAATTTTTAAAATTCTCGCCGCAAGCGGTTCTTTTGAACTTGATCGACTGTACATCCTGTGTAAAGTGCTGTTTCTTTTGCACGAAAAGACCCAGCGGAGTATGCCGAATAGCTTCGGGCTCTCTTGAGGGGTCACACCACCCTTCCCTGTCACCAGATAGTGGCCCTGGCCTGCAGGAACGGCCTCGGAGGGTGCCTCTATCAGCGTTTGCATCTGCCCCCCCAGGGCACGGCCTGAGCTGTCAGCTGCTCCTCCCTACTCCCCCCAGTCCTGTCCGAGATCTGGGCAGGTGCCGGCCCACAGGAGGGGGCGGCCCTCACCTGGGTGGCCCTGGCCCAGTCTGAGCTCGCCAGCGGGAGCTGGCACAGCCTTGGCCCAGGAGGAAAGAGCTTGGGTTGTGCGTGGGCTGCAGTGGCGAGTTCGGAAGCCACGGGCAGCCCGTGGTTTTATTCTGCGCCTGTAGTGGACTCGAGTATCGGCCATGGAGCCCGCAGGGAACTGGGGGCTTACTTTCCAGGTCAGACGGCCCGTCGAGGGTCGGTCACGGTGCCCTGCCTCAGGGGCTCTAACTCAGTCGCCTCTCTGTTTTCTCGCAAGGCCTGCTGAAAATGACCGAGTATAAACTGGTGGTAGTTGGAGCTGGTGGCGTGGGCAAGAGTGCCTTGACGATACAGCTGATCCAGAACCACTTTGTGGATGAGTATGACCCCACGATAGAGGTAAATGCTTTCACTGCCGCACAGACAGCCCAGAAGTGCAGGACGGCCGTGCTGGAGGGGTCGGCCGAGCGGGGTGTGACCTCAGAAAGGGGGCGTCTGGTGGTCGCCCCGCCGTCTGGTGGTCGCCCTGTGTGCGTTTTCGTCAGAAGCCTGTTGCCAGGCTTCGGGGAGGGGGACTATTACTCTGTCTTGTACAGGTACCGCACGGATGGTTTTCAGTCTGAGAATGTGGATATTGTTACGGATTTCTTGGTATTGCAACGTGATGCTGGAAGTTGGTTGGAGTATGCTCAGTAATCGTTTGAAAAAATGAACAATCTTCACGTAGAAGAAACTACGCTATCTAATGTTGGGGGCACTGGGCCACACCCTGTGCGACTCAGGATCATTCCTGGAGGGTCCTGAGGGACCCAGTGAGGTGCCGGGGATTCAAGCCAAGCCCTGTATGTGCCATGCAGGTGTCCTACCTGCTGAACGGTCGCTCCCAAACTGATTTTCTTTTTTTTTAAGAATTCATCTCTGGCTTTTCTATCAGGTGACATGTAAGGTACCGTTACTAACTCCGTCTTTGTTGCCCTTTTCAATGTCTGGAAAAGGAACGTTTCCTCTTGTTTCATGAAGATTTCCAGCACAGGCTGGAAAGCTGGGGGCAAGTGTGGGCCGAGAGTGGGGGTCAGACGCCGTCTCCCGACAGACGAGGTGTGCAGAGGGGCTGTCCCGAGCCCGTGCCCCTCGCCTTTTCCAGAATGTCATTCGTAGCAGTTTCATGCCTAATCGCAATTTCCAGGGCCTGTTTAACATTCATGGAAATGGAAGTAGGCGATTCACCTCGTCTTAGAGATGGGTCTGGGGTGTTGAGTGTCTCTCGGTCTTCCCCCCCCCCCCCCCCGCCCCCCGGGGCTGAGCAGCCCTGCCTCTTTGTCCCAAGTGTGAGTCCGTCTTCAGAGGCCAGCTGTGAAGACGGGGTGTGGCTCCAGTGGCAGTGCTCCTGTGCTGGTGTGGGGGCCAAGGGTTGGGTCCCCAGTACCGCTGGCAATAACCCCCAGGAGAGTAAGAACAAGATGCTCTGAACAGGTTCCGGAACTCTCTTTGAGTTCCGAGAGACACTTGCATGCCTTGCTCAGAGACAGACCCTGCTGGGGGTCCAGTGACCTTGTTCAGAAGCTTTAGCGCTTCGCAGGTTGATTAAATTATGGCTTGTAAGGAAATGTCAACTGTTTGGTTCTGCTGATTTGCAAAGGCCTGGTTCAACCTGGGAGCACTTTTATTTGGCCTCCACCCTTCAGATTTGCATTCCTTAGGGGTGGGACACCCCTGCCATCGCACGCTTTCTCTTTGCTCAGTGCCTGCTGGAGGATGGTTCTGTCTCTTTCTTCTCGAGGAGACTTAAATAGCTGCTCCGTTTCAGAGCCATTTCTGGCTCTCCCAAGGTTCACTTCGAGTTCAGTACAGTCGTGGTTCCTTGCCCTACTCGACCATTCGTGTCAGATACAAAAGGAAGTTTTTAGACACTCGGGTGGAGCTTGGAAGTTTCCCTGGGCAGACATCTGGCAGGTGAGGGCGCAGAGGTGCCTCCGCTGTGACAGCCGAGGCCGGGAAACGCTCTGTGAGAGCAGGAGAGGGTCAGTTAGGAAATCTGGCTTAAAATATTACGGTGCAGCATCGCCTTAAAGCTCACGCTCCGTCCTGTGTTTGGGGGGCAGGTAGAAAAAGGTGCGTTTCCCCCAGACCTGAAACGGAGTTCTGCCCCCATGGAGGACTTGGGTCTGCAGCATTGATTACTGGTGACCTTTGACACGGCTCCTCCCTCCTGGGTCAGCCGGTGGGGGGAAAGTCCCAGGGAGCGACTGTTATCATCTCTGTCATCTGGGCTCCTCGGGGAAGAAAGGCGAGGAGGATTCAGTCTGCGTTGTCATGGACGTTAGTGAAAAGAGCCGGGGACTTGGGAGTTCCCTGTGGCTCGGAGGTGCTCGCGTCTGGGGAGTGACGCCCAGGGCCGCTGGACTGTCCCATGTGGGACTCACAGCCGCTCTGCTGCCCTGAAGCAAATCAAATTCAGGAAGCAGGTCAGAATTTTAAGTGACTTGAGGTTTGTGGGGGTTTGCGCTGGGCCAGGTAGGAAGGTGGGCGTCCTCTTGCCGTTTTCCCAGCCAGAGGCGACAGATGGCTGCCTTAGCCTCAGTCACCGGCTGGTGAGGGGTATTCTGATGGGTAGGGCCTGAGACCAGTTCTGTGTGTCCAGTTTTACAGTTTCTTAAAAGCAGAAAATAGTTGGAGTCTAGGAAGTGCAGTAGTGGAGGTGGCCGTGGTTCCGTGGCCCCCAAGTCTGGGTGTTGAGTCCTCCCTGCCGTGCCCGGACGAGTTTCCCTGCGCCTTCTCGCAATCCGCCAGAGCTCTGGAGCTAACGAGAGAGCCTGTTAGCAAGAGTCTTCAGACACTTAACCCACTTCACAAGCACGGTACCAGGCCAGAAATGATGTTTTTCCCCCGTGTTTGTGGCAGGGCGACAGCCCGGCAGTGCTGGGTGCCCGGGGGTCGCTCGCAGCGTGGACCAGGGTTCCGAGCTCAGGCTGGCGAGGTCCTGAGCGCGGTGTCCGTGGCCGTCTCGTCCTGGGGCCTCTCACATGCAAGACAAGTGTCTGGGCGCAGCCCCGACTCCAGATGTTTTTTAGTTTTGACATGACTTGTTGCCATAGCATGTTTCCCGAGATGTGTTTTCTCTAAATTTTGGTGAAAGGGCAATTTCGTCTTTCAGAAATAAAAGTCGCGATACCGAGAGCACGAGCTCAATTCCAGTCAGCAGACACCTCCGGGCTGGGCCCCGGGAGCCGAACCAGGTCTCGGGAAGTTCCCCGTCTCGGATTCCTGGCGGCGGGCTGGGCCGTACCTGTCCGGCACTGTGGGGAGGAACTGACTCAGAATGGACCGAGTCGTTCTGTCTCTCATTCCCCGAGTCTCCATGGTGTGTCAGCCTCTTGATTTTGTTTTTTGTTTTTTTTCCCCGTATTCTACTTTTCCACATGCGAAATTGATCTTGCTTGCAGAGTGCAGTTTGCAAGAACCTCTGTTGTGTCCGGCGGTGTTGGAGAGTGAGGGAGCGTGCTCGGCCTGGGGAGAGACGGGCAGGGGTGGGCCTGTCGCTGCTCTCGGAGGGGGCTGCTCCGCTCTGCTGTGGGGGGGGGGGCGGCACGCAGCGGGCTCGGCGGGGGCTGAGGTGGGCATCCGAGGACGTGAGCCGTCCCTCCCTCCCTCCCTCGTCCTGAGTGAGGCTAAGTAGGTTCCAGCTCTGCCTTTTCTCACCGCCCAGTGGGAAACTTCCCGGCGCCTTCCGCGTAAAGGGGAGCTCGCCCGCTGTACCGGTAGCCAGGTGCCAGGTGCCCGGATACCGGTGCCGGTGCCCTTCGGGCTGGGACCTGCTGGGCCCCCTCCTCCCTCCCTCCCTCCCTCCCTCCCTCCCAGCGCGCGCGCGCCCCCTGCCGGCCGGCCGGCTCCGCCTGGCGTCGAGGTGCGCTCGCACCTTTCATTTCCCCTCTGAGCTGCGCGCACCGTCAGCCTGTAGGTACACAGTTTATTCAGAAGTTAGAACTTGTATGATTTTTCCAAAACTCGGAGGCGGCACTTCTCCCCGTGTGGGTGTTCACAGATTGTATGACTGAGTTGGGCCTGACAGAAAGGGCAAGTGAAACGGGGGGGAAAAAGAGCGGTTCTCTGCGTTGCGGGGGGTGGGGGGTGGGGTGGGGGGCTGCTGCTCCTGCGTCTGTGTGCGCTGCAGGGGCACACAGCCGGGCCCGGGGCTTTGTGGCCTGGGGCCTCGAGAGAAGAAGGTCAGGAAGTCAGGGGCCTGGACTTCAAACATCACTGGACATGTTTTATTCTAACGAGGGATTCTGTCCGCGCAAAGCGTTCGGAAGAGGCCGATGAGAGCTGGTCATGGAGATCATTGGAAAGGAAGAAGGTGTTTGCCCCCCCCAGGACAGGCTCACCGTGGAGACGGGGCGTTAATTCCATCAGCCCCCCACCCAGCACTCGCTCTGTGCCGGCTTCCACCCGTGTAGCCAGTCCGGGGCCGGGCCTCGCCCCTACGGAGCACAAAGGGCGCGTCACGCTCTCGAGTGCTCCTGGTCTCCTCGGACTTCCAGTTATGGAACGTGTCTGTGGCCCTGACCTAAACAGAGTGAGATTAGGGGAAATGGACAGTGAAAAATAAAATATTTGACAGGGTTCAGGAGAGATCAACGCCTACCTGAAGTAAGTTTTATTTTCCCTCAGTTACTTTCCCCACTTTTTGCTTTGAAAATTAAGAAACCTCTGGACAAGTCTCGAAGTGTCAACAGCAACCGTTCAAATTAGACTTAGGAGTACGCTGCAGTATTGGCTAGCCCTAGTGTGTGTGTGTATGTGCGTGTGCGCGCAGGATACAGTGTATCCGTGGATCCACACTGGAATGCATATTTATTTGGGGCTTGGGGGGCTGCTTCTGGCTCTGCTCAGGGGGCCAGGTGGTGTCAGGTGGGAGCGGGCTTCGGCCTCTCCTGCATTGCAGTGCCGGCATCGTGGGCTGGTGCTGCTTTGGGCCGCGGGGAGCGGCGCCCTCTGGGGCAGTGCTGATGCCCGACGCGGGCCTAGCTGCCCTCCAGCCGGCGCGCCCTAGTCTGGCTGCCGTGACTGAGGGTCCGGCACTTCAGTGCCCAGGCCAGGTTCCGGCGGGAATGTTCCCGTTCAGCGTCAGCGGCTGTCCACACCCACTCTGGGGTCTGGCATGCTTTCCCTGGTCCTCGGTCTTCCCGAGGCAGCTCGACTGTCCCCTCGGAGGCTGTGGGAACCGGCACTGTTGGCTTATGGGGCTGTGTCGGGTTTCTCTGGCTGGAGGCGGCCAGTTCCTTGGTGATTGGTAAGGGTGAGGTGGCCACTGCCTGTTCGTCATGGTGTGCTCAGAGGGATGCGGCATGCGCTGCTCCTTGTCCTCCGAATCCGTTCCTGTTGCGTTGTTGCAGAGACGG